TTATACTCTTCTTTTTATTCATACATGAATGAAAATTATAAAAGTGCAAAAGCATTAGACTGACACACATTGGTCACTTATCACTGAATATTCTTATCCTATCAATACATTTCTAAATAGTAATGTATAATAATTTATATCTAAATCATTCTGGCACCATTAACTAAACCTAATAGACTCGGGCATCTATCAATAATAAAAATAACATTGGTATTCTTATGTGAAAATTTACACACAGTGTGGAAACTAAGGGTAAACGTCATGGTACCTACACAGTAATTACCCCAAATCAGAAAAAAATGATTCATATTATCAATACTGAAGATAAGGACATCAATTTTGCTGAAAAAATATATATTCAAATTTACAAGGCTATTCATAACTAAAAAGGAAATATTCGGAGTGAACAATAATGAACCGATATTGGTTACGTAGACCAATTTTGACTAGCTTAAAAAAAAAAAAAAAAGGAATAACTGCTTTCAACTTTAGAAAGAGAAAAACTCTTTGATGTTCTGAAGTCAACACCAAATTTACAACCATTTTTACTCTATATACACAGAAAAGTTTGGCTTCAAAACTTCACTGGACCAAAATTATTGCACGGAAGAGATGAAATGATGCAAGTCTAACAAGTCAATTCGCTTGTTTAACACAATATACTTCCACAACACTTAACATTCATAAGTGAACAACAACAACAAAAAAATCACAGCCATATCAAAAGTAAACTAGACATACGACATCTTGAAATAAAATTAATAAATACATATTTACACTGGAAATGAAACTGTACTTTTTGACCAGGCATCTACATAACCATGTGGTTTAATAACTACAAACCTCTTCCTATACTTAATTCTTGATAACAAATGTGTATTTCCTTCACATATGATTAAAATCTGGGATGTTCTATAATACAATATACATGTAAACAGTATACAACATGTGTATGCTTGAATACACATGTATATAAATTGATAAGTCACGGAACTTTTAGCTTTGAAATATAAAACAGGAACCACAATATGCATCTTGTACTATACCCTATCAAACAACCTAGACTTGAACCCTACACCAGCACACAAAATCCTCAAAAAAAGGGCATTCCTTTATTTTATGTACAAAGAACTCAACACCTTTTAATTGAGCACATCCTAATGTATATACTAAGTCTTCTCTTACAATGTCTTGTGAATTGATGGGTTGCCTTTTTTGATGCTTGTCTCTTGAGGGTAGCACAGTACAATATCCGATTCTTTCTTTGATTATTCCTATGTTTATTTCAACAAGAAATAGGGAAGAAATAGACAAAAATAATAATATAAAAAAAAGGAATGAAGAACAATTGTATGAGATCATGGAATGATTGAGATTAACTCACTTGGGTCCAAATAATAATATTGTAAAAGCACTGTAACGTCCTTAGTCTACCTTTTCACATCACTGGGCTCTTGGATATACATGTCAATATCAATATATCAATATTAATTAAGAACAACAATAATATATTTCATGGGGCCTCTATAAAATAATTTTGTACAGCTGTTAATATTAATAAATAAAAATATAATTCTGAAGCAGATAATTAAAGCACCAAAACTGGTCATACTTAAAAAGAAAAAGATAAAAAAGTAGAAAAACAGACATGACAATAAATAGCAAAAGGACAAAAATTCAATTCCACTATCACGACAAATGATTTTACGAGTTGTTCAACAACTCTTTTTTTTTTTAATGTCTTAATTGTGCACTCAACTCATGGTCTATTTGTGTGGGAAAGCGGGCTTTGTCAGGGTGTGTCTTGGCCTGGACCGAGAGTTTCGTCTCTCCCTGGGGGTGGCTGTTGTGGCTTCTTCTGATGATGTCCGTGATGTATTGCTCCTGTCTGTGCGCAAGTAGGGTGGCACCAGCTCCTGTGCTACATGGACTAGACGTGTGTGCATGACTTCACAGTCGATCTGCATCAGAGCCACATTATTGGGAGGGGGAGCCAGAGAGTCATTCATAGACTGGGGTGTTGGCATTAGCAGGGACATCCTGGGGCGGGCTGAGTCATTCCGTGCTGTTGCTGGGACGAGGAGGTGGTCAGGAGAGAAGGACACAACATAGTATGTATCATCACGCCTCTGGATAGCCTCAAGGAACGATGTTAGACGAGGGACAGTAGCCATGACTGAGGTGTCCTCTTCAGTGCTGTAAATAGAAAAACAAAATGCATGGTAAGACCTCGTTATTAGCAAAGAATCAGCAAAAGGAACACATTATCAAGCCAACATGATTAGCTCCAAAAGAAACGAACTTACCTAGTAGATGGCTCAACGTAATGAACATAGTGGTAAAGTGGTGCTGGTTTGTTGGAAGGTTGCTGGGGAGGGACTAAGGCATTCCAGACCTCACTGCCGACTTGCTTGCTGAGTTTCTGGCTTGGTTCTCCCGCGTTTTTGTGCTTGTTCAGCCTGTTCCTTCCTTCCCTTGTCTTGGGATGCGACAACAGGGGTCTCTGGTTGTTGTTGTTGTTCTTCTTCTTGTCCATCTTGTTCTCAAACCAGCCTCGTAATTCAGTCTCCAGCCTAAAATGACCGTACGTTATCAATGACAATTTTAATTTGAACATGGACAAAATTCAAAATTGCAAAAGTACAGTCTAAATCATACTGCCTTCCTCTTGAAACAGCACATAAGACAACCCTAAGGACTAAAAGGAAAATATGACCAAAAGAGTCCCCCTTGCTTACCTCAAACTTTCTGTTGCATTGATGTACATGGGACACATGGACGAGGTGTTGGTGTTCAAGTTCGGAATTGTGCCTTCCTCTGCCGACGCCTGTTTTTCATCGGCCCAGAGCACACACCACACACACACACACCACACACACACACACACCACACACACACACACACACACACCACACACACACACACACACCACACACACACACACACCACACACACACACACCACACACACACACACACACACCACACACACACACACCACACACACACACACCACACACACACACACACCACACACACACACACACCACACACACACACACACCACACACACACACACCACACACACACACACACACACCACACACACACACACCACACACACACACACACCACACACACACACACCACACACACACACACACACCACACACACACACACCACACACACACACACCACACACACACACACCACACACACACACACACCACACACACACACACACCACACACACACACACACACACACACACACACACCACACACACACACACACCACACACACACACACACCACACACACACACACACACCACACACACACACACACACCACACACACACACACACACACCACACACACACACACACACACACCACACACACACACACACACACACACCACACACACACACACACCACACACACACACACACACACCACACACACACACACCACACACACACACACCACACACACACACACCACACACACACACACACACACACACACACCACACACACACACACCACACACACACACACCACACACACACACACCACACACACACACACACCACACACACACACACCACACACACACACACACCACACACACACACACACACCACACACACACACACACACACACCACACACACACACACCACACACACACACACACACCACACACACACACACACACACACCACACACACACACACCACACACACACACACCACACACACACACACACCACACACACACACACACACCACACACACACACACCACACACACACACACCACACACACACACACACCACACACACACACACCACACACACACACACACACACCACACACACACACACCACACACACACACACACCACACACACACACACACCACACACACACACACACCACACACACACACACACACACCACACACACACACACACCACACACACACACACCACACACACACACACACACCACACACACACACACACACCACACACACACACACACCACACACACACACACACCACACACACACACACACACACACGCACACGCACTCACTCACACACCACACACACACACACACACACACACACACACACACACACACACACACACACACACACACACATACACAGTCACACACACACACACTCACACTCTCTCTCAACATCCACACATCCATGTAGGAATCATATTCTTTTTAAAAGAAGAAACTACTATCTATACTTGAAATAAATAAATAAAAAAAAAAATCTTTAAAAGAACAATGATAATTACGATAGAGAACCACACTTAAAAACAAATTAGACTTTGTCCAGAACTTACGTCAAAGGGCCTAGGTTCAGAGATAAGAGGAAAATTATGGCAAACAGCGCAGTGGTGGTTTTCCTGCTTGGGCTGCGACCCAATGCATGCCGCAACGATGCACACTCAGACTCCAGTGATGATACCTTTTGTTGCAAGCGGATATTGTCCTGCAACAAAAAATGGAACAGTAAACTACCATAACACACACTAAAAAAGGGCATAAATTTCCAACCATATACACAAAGACTACAAACAAATTTGTTTTTACAATTTGTATGTACCTCTTTCAATCTTTTATTTTCATTTTGTAGCTCGGTAATGTTTCCTTCAAGAGCTGTGACGTATTCTTTCTTCTTCTTACGAGACAGACTGGCGGATTCTCTGTTTTTTATCATTCTCTGTTGTCTTTTCAGTGCCTTCAGCTGTAAAAACAAATGATACCCATGATACAATATACAATTATCTGTAGAAAAAGAATGAAAGAAAAATAATCTTAATACTAAAATAATTGTAAAACCAACAATAATGAAACTAATAACAATTAAAATAGAAATAAAGATAATCTTATAAAAGAAACTAATAAATATAATAATGATCATAAATAAGGGGAAAAAAAGAGAAGTAAAAAGAAAGAAAGAAAAAGAAAAGACAAAATCTATATCACACGTACATCTGGAACGTTGCCGTGCTTCATGCCCGGAGCAAGGGCAGGAGCGAGTGGCGCCAGGGGTGTGGTAGGGGCTGCTGGGGGCACTACAGATGACTGAGTGCCAATAACTGTGGGCTGGTTGGTTATCTATAGAGGAAAAGGAATATGTTTGAAATAGCAATAGTAATTATGGTAATAAAATTAACCATCCTGCCCTCACAGTGAACTTTGCATAAATGTCTGTACAGTTTAACATGACAGAAAGATGCATCCCATATTATCTGTCAAAATATGATATGATGGACAAAACTATTTTTGCAATGGGGCTAAACTTAGACCATTCACGCCGGGTGTCATGTATACGTGACGTGCCCACTGTGAGTTTACTTGTTTAATTGTTTTCAATCATAGATGGCTACACTTGTACTTGTACTGCCTGTCTCACCTGTTTACCCTTTTCTTTAATTTACGAAAATATCTTACGTTATCTTATTTTGCCGTTATTAATGTTTGTAGCATTATAGTAATTATAATGTTTAGAATAAAAATAACCATCGATATTCATAGCACTATTAAAAATACATTTTCCGCACAATTCAAGTAAAGGTGAAATCATGTGGCAGAGCCATCTAGTGTAGAGACATTTCATTAAAAAATATAAAAAACGAGCACAGCATTTTCCCCATTTTTTGTTCATTTTTACCCGGCGCGAATGGGTTAACCTAATAATCGTGCATGCTTTGTTATAACTGACACTGCTGGTAGATGTTCCTGAAAATTGTGAGAATGGCAAGTATGTTTTACTTGTCCTTAACACAGAATCTGATGCCCATATGCAAGGGTGGGATGGGGGTGGGGGGTAAAACCACTAGCATTAAGAAGTTATGTGGAATAAAAGGTTAAGGAATTATGTAAAACAGAAGGCTAATTAACCACTTCTAGATCTTTAAAGTCATTGGAGGAAGATTTGACAATATTCTTGTGGCTTGCCTTAGTGACATACTATAAGTTGCTATTATGAGTAGTCTATCAATACAATGATTATTAGCTTGGTTTTAATTTGTTTGTTCATTTTCTCTTTCCTTATCTGCCTGTCTCTGTTTGTCTCCCTCTAAGAAAGGTTTACTCGAGAAAATATAAAACTATTTTAATCTATCAATTTATCTTTTATCTGATTTTAACGTCCTCTAGGTTTGCAATACATAGTACAATATTCTTTATTCTTGTACAAAACTTCTCCTTTATAGTAAAATAGGTACTGTACTAGCTGTACTAATGTTTAAAGTAAATTAGCCTAAACTGTACTGTTAGGTACATTAGGTGTATAAGAGATGTGTTACAGACACTTTTGACTTAAGATATTCTCAATGTATAATAGGTTTATCATGACAAAACTACAACAAACTGAGGAGTATCTGAGTGTTTACACATATACAACTATACACAATTCAAAGGGAGTAGACAATGCATACCTGTGATGTAAGGATGGATGGTACTGGGCTAGGAATTGTAGGTGTGGCAGCAGTTACTCTAGACTGCACTTGAGGAGGAGGTGGTTTCAGCTGGACAACCCTTGTGCTTCCCCCCGTGCTTATGGTCCTTGTCCCAACTGTTTGGAGTGAATATTTCAGATAGGTTTGCATGAATTCTCTAGGGGGATACATAAACAAGGCAAATAGGTAAGAAAAAAAGAAAGAGTAAGGATAAAAAAAAACAAAGGAAGATAGAAAGAATGAAAGAAAAAGAAAGTGCAGAATGGAAAAATGTCGGTTAGTTCAAGGTCACAGTATTAGTAACAACTAAATAACCATTCAAGATCACTCTTATTTGACAAAGGTGTAATTTCTTAAACTAAAGTACTGGCCTATTTCATGATAATTTGAAGAAATTGTACAAATGTTTTAAACCATGCTAATCGTGACATTGGTAAATACTTCGCTCTACTATAATATGCAATAAGATCATAACTTATGAAAATGTAGACAGCCTTTACATTATAAATGTTTACGACCTTCACGCATGCACCCCACCCTCCCTTCCCCACACACAAACACCTTTCTCACACTCTCTTTCTCATGTATGCATGTACATGTACACACAAACACCTTTCTCACACTCTCTTTCTCATGTATGCATGTACATGTACACACACACCCTCACTCACTCACTCATTCACACTCAAGCATGCAAGCACATATACACACGCACACATGCTAACACACACATTTGATGCTTTAATATTCTAAAAAAGAAGAACTTCCACATGAAACTCACCAGTTTTTGGCAGCGTCAACTTTGGTCCTGAAGAGGAATTTACTATGCTAATAACCTGAGGTTGTGTTGTACTTGTGGTCACAATTTTGGGTTGAATTTTCATGGTTTTGGTAATGCGGCCGCCTTTGGTTGCCCCTTGATTACCTGTGCCTGCAAGAAAACAGAACAAAAGACATAGATATCATCTTAAAAAATTTCATCTACATATATGGTTGTAATATTGAAAAAGAAAGAAAGAAAGAAAGAGGAAAATTGTAATAACAAAGACAATAATCACAAAAGAAAAGAAAAATCCTAAAATCATAGCAACAAGAACCAGAACACTGTCACTCACCATTTCTCGTCGTTATGGTAACAACTTTGATGGGTTGCGTCATGTGATTTGCTGTCATGCCATTTGTGCCTTGCTTCTGGTGCTGGTGAGGGGGGGAGAGGACTACTGTGGTTGCTGTTGGTCCTGCAGGAGAGAGAGGCTGGGGACTATGGGGGGGCGATCCTTCACTCTGTGGGGGGGTTACAGGTGGGGTGTCCAGAGCCTGAGGATTAAAATAAACGATGGTTATATATAGGGTTATTTTCCTGTATAAAGAAGGAGGTTCAGATAGAATGTAAGACAGCTATTCTAATGGTCTGATATGTAGTAATACAAAGGAAACATCATTTTATAATTATATCACATTCAAGTATCAATATATCATCCACATGCAAGTGATCCAGCCTACAGTCACATCCTTTTACATGAATAGATCCATAAAAATGATATCACATTCGAGGAATCCCACACCCCAAAGAACCAGGAACTCACCTTGACATTGGGTTTAATATCAGGACCACAGAGCAGTTCCCAGATGTCATGACTATCATCAGGGGACGGTGGCATCTGTAGGAAATGCTGTGGCGAAGACGGCTCCTTCTTTATCTGTGTAAAAGAGACCTTATTAGGAAAAACACTGCCATAACAACATAAAAAGCACAAACTGTAGATAAATACGATACCAAATCTTAATGAATTACACAAATAATATCTCCAAGCTGATTCCATGAATATATAATGCAGGCATTTATTGTTTGGAGGAGGGGTGGGGTGGGGTGAGGCTTAACTCCTAGGAACTAAACATCATACAACTTGCAAATCTAATATTCAGTTCAATATAACAGAGAGGCTTGCCATAATCCTACAAGCAATTGGGTATCCTGTAATGTATCTGGGTACATGAAGGCTTTCATCTAATAGTAGTCCTTACTGCTTGTGTACATATTTTTAACTAACTTTATATTAAGAACACATTCTTTAAAGAATAACTAAGCCGTATTTAAAAGTCACTTTGGTAGTTACGTGAGACCTTTCATGTTATTGTTAAAGAAAACGGTTAAGCAAGGGAGACTAAGTTATAGCAAAGTTAACCCATTCGCCACGGATTTATGTTCGGTCCCCTGTAGTTTTTGGTGAATTTTGTTACCTACAGATGGCTCCACATGTGCTCAGCCAGCAAGGAGTCTATCAGTAGACCCTAGTTACTGACCCTGATTTTCCCATTCATTGAACTGGCGGGAAAACTAATACCATTGCTTTCGATACTGTTATTATTGTTATTGATGTTATGCTTATTGAATTGTCATTAGTATATTTTTGACAATGAAATGATACAAAAAAAACTTTCCTAAAGTAAAGGAAAAGGGTAAACAGGTGAAATAGGTAGTTCTTGATAACTGGCTATTTGGTGATTAAAAACTTGTGGAGCCATCTATGTGTAAATACAATAAATAAACGTGTATCAAAGTGGGTATGGCATCTATTCTTGCCATATGTGGCGAATGGGTTAACAAACAAATATAAAGATAAACTGCAGGGGAAAAAGAATTCTAAATATAATAGAACTTATCACACAAAAGGGCCACTGTTCATAGTCCAGTGCAAGGGAGATAATCATGAAACTCAAACTTCATTCTAATAAACTGATGTACTGCATTAGCCACTAAAGCAGGAGAAGAAAAGGAAATCTTTCTTGGCTACCTTGCTGAGTATAGTATGATTCCATTAACTATCATCTTTGCTGCAAATGGATTATAGTTATTCTGATGGGATTGAATCTCCTGCATCCCCAAATTACCTGCCCTATTTTTTTTATTTATTTATCTATTTTTTTTTTAAGTATATCTAAAAATAAAGCGCAAGCAACAAATCCAGCCATTTATGAACACTTTAAAAGCAATAATCACAGACATAATCAGAAAAGAAAAGCCATATTCTCAAGCATGCTACCGAGAATGACTTTGTTGAAGTAACATTCATGCTGACACATTATTCACTGCAATAAATAGAGTGGACTGTGTCATGTCTGTAATTCTAGACTGCAACTGACATAAAAATATCACAACAGAAAAAAGAAGAAAATCAACATAAGCTGCAGTAGCTACTTACAATTTTATCTTCAATGAGGACTGATGAAATGGTTTCATTTTCTGCTTCTTGTCCAGCAACCAAATTTGGATACAGTGCTTGAGTCAGTTCCTCTGCTGAAAAGTCATCTGAAAAGTGGAGACAAATCCAATTATGAATAAATATTTGTGTCAAGGAAATTACTGAATATGTATGGGGCAAAAAGAAAAGGAAATGTATACACGCACATCCTTTAGTATTATGGCAAAATCAAAGAAAAAAATAAATACAGAAAGCTGAATACCACAAAATGAAATTAACAACTGAAAGATAATGATAAAGATAAGATAAAAGGAGTTCCAGATTACGTACTCTCTGACTTGAGGGCGGAGGATACACTATCTTGGTTAGTGAACGTCTGGAATATGTCTCCAGGACTGTGCGATGACCATGAGGAGACTGGCTCAAAGTCATCAAGAGCAAGAGGAAGCTGAAAGAAGGAATTAAATTTTTTTTTTTTTCTATAGATCCACGACCTTTATACAATATACAAGAAAATACAGCAGTCACAAGCTATATTTATTTTATTTCTTAGCTTTTAAAATGAATACAATAACCATCAATATCATCCTACTTTTATTCAGGTAGAATGAATTTGTGTCTCACTGTCATACAGCACTAGTGTGTTTTAAGACTATATATCTTTTTATTCTATTCAAAGTCATTCTGGTTTCTAGATTAAGCCCTAAGATAAAGAAAGTTTTCTCAATGACAAAGTATATGCTGGTTAAAAGACTATAACTGTAGACATTACATCAAAACAGGGTTTCTAATTATGTTTAATGCCCCCACTGAACAAGAGTCTCCAAACATGCATCTTTACCCTTTATCTCTTACTTATGTTCTGGAAACCAACAATTCTATTTCTATCTGCGAATGTGGGATTCTAAATATAAGCATGAGTCACCGTTTTCTTTTTCGTGACCTACTTCTAACAAATCAGTAATGTGAAAGGGCACATCCAAGACCGCACAATAAGTATTTAGAAATCACTCTATCAACAGCTTTGGCAATCTTACCTCAAGGTCGTGAGACAGTTTGTGAATAAGGTCGTCATCACTGCTCGATTCCGACACATCTGTAATTAAGAAAAAAAAAAAATTCAAGCAAATACTGTAATGAATTATATTCTGGCAAAATATTCAGAATGTTACTTTAATCATATTGCACTGCAAATGAACTTGAAATGCAAAATATACAAAATCCATTTCATTAATCAGTTAAGTTTTGTGTCTAATGAATTCATAAAAGTTGACTGTTGAAATGTCAATTACATCTTTGCATTGTGAAAGTTTTAATTCTCATTTGTGGATTGAAAAAAGTTTTACATACTGAAATACAGTGCAAAATGACACAGAGCAAAATCATATTGGGAAAGGTGCATGAAAAGGAAGAGAAGAAAAGACTAAGAAGAGAGAAAGAGAGAGAGACAGAGAGAGAGAGAGAGAGAGAGAGAGAGAGAGAGAAAGAAAAAGAAAGAGAAAGAAAGAGAGCAAAATCATATTGGGAAAGGTGCATGAAAAGGAAGAGAAGAAAAGACTAAGAAGAGAGAAAGAGAGAGAGAGAGAGAGACAGACAGACAGACAGACAGACAGACAGACAGACAGAGAGAGAGAAAGAGAAAGAAAGAGAAAGAAAGAGAGAAAAATAAAAGCACACCCACCCCTAATCAAAACCAAACCAAAAAATACACGACCCAACTCGCAGACCAGAAATCAATGAAATTTTGAAAGCACACATCACTCAACACAGCACCACCACCCAAAACGACGACCAACATCCTCTGCGGAAACGTAACACACACACCACACACACACGTGAAACGGTAGATTAACCTGGAAGAGGCCACGATGAAAAGTCTATTTGTGACAAGAGATCCTCCACTGTACTTTCGGTATCCCCTCCCCCCCCAATTACCTGGGGGGTGTTTTGTGATGTCATAGTGGCTTCTGAACGAGATAGAAAATGTTTATTTTGTTTAATTTGCATTATTATGTTTCACTTTTATATTTCTTTTACTTTTAAGTAGAGAGAGAATGAATCATGAAATGAAATTGCTCGTATATTCATCTTGACAGAAATTATTGTAGTTGCATACTCCTGTGAAAATTTCTGGCGAGTTATCAACTTCCATTTTCCTATGTAGCAATTCTAATGTTTGACACACAAGGCCTACCCTCTCTGTCTGTTTGTCTGTGTGTATGTCTCTCTCTCTCACACACAAAAAAAGAACAAAACAACAATAAAAGAAAAAGATGAGAAAAAGAAGAATAATAAAAGAGGGGAAAAAAAAAAAAAAAAAAAAAAAATTCACACACACAAAACAACAACAATCAAACACACACCATTGCAAAGACAACAAGGGCCAAACAACAGGCAACCTTGAAAATAGACCCCCCCCCCCCTGTTAAAAAAAAACTAAACACGTGAACATCGAGATGCATGACACGCCTCTGCCATCGCCATGACTGGCTCAAGCATGACACTTTTCCGCACGTTTCCTGTATTGACTCCATGTCCTTGTGGATGTTTTAACTGCGTATCGATTTTGCATATCTATTTGTCGCATAAATATATGCAATGTTTTGTGATACAGCAGAATATATGTTTTAAGTCTAATGTTACCTCAGGGCTAGACAAATGGGAAAAGTGTAGGATCATGTCATACCATTAAAAATATGTTCTAATGTACAAAAACATTTCTGTCTCTCTCTCTCTCTCATTTCATGTTCTGCATTGCTTATTTATTTCCCAATATTTCCTTCAAATATACACGTATGCACGCACACACATGCGATATTTATAAACATGTATTACATGAATAAATAACTGTGCGCATGCGAGGCCAACAGATATTAGCAACGCTGAATTTAAAATAGAGAGTGAGAGAGCGAGAGAGAGAGGTAAAGAGAGAGAGAGAGAGAGAGAGAGAGAGAGAGAGAGATAGTGAGAGAGAGAGAGATAGTGAGTGAGAGATAGTGAGTGAGAGAGAGATAGTGAGTGAGTGAGTGAGTGAGTGAGTGAGTGAGTGAGAGAGAGAGAGAGAGAGAGAGAGAGAGAGAGAGAGAGAGAGAGAGAGAGAGAGAGACAGAGAGAGAGAAATAAATAAAAATGAAAATAAAAATAAAAATAAAAGGCAAAAGAAAGAAAGAAGAGAGAGAGAGAGAGAGATAAAGAACAAGAGAAAAAGAAAGAGTAAGAAAACGAAAGAGAAAGAAAGAAAGAAAGAAAGAGAAAAAGAGACAACTACCAAACACCCCAGCATCTTCACCCCCCCCCCCCTCCCACGTCAGTCCATCAAAGTCCCCCCTTCCATCTCCCCAATCTTCCCTCTCCTTGCAATTGAAACCAATCGAGTCCAACAAAGGCCCCCGATGCTATTCCCTCGACAATCCCCTCATTTCGAAAACGATCACGAAAGTACACACAAACTTTATAGCACTTTGATAGACAACCAATAATATGAAAAGTGAAAAAGATATTACCACGTTATGGTGCATGGCTTTTACATTTATTTTTAGTTATTCATTATAAACTATTTATATATATAAATAGTTTATATATATATATATATATATATATATATATGTATGTATATAATATATATATATATATAATATATATATAATATATATAATATATGTAATATATATATGTATATACACACACACACACACACACACACACACACACACACACACACACACACACACACACACACACACACACACTTGCATATCGCATGTACCGTCTACGTGACTTAGCATGATATTTTGCCGATTGCATAAAAACGAAGGAGGAGGAGGAAGAAGACGAAGAGGAAGAAGAAGAAAAAGAAGACGATGCAGAGAAAGAGGACGTAATAAATAGCAAGAAAAGGAAGAAACTAAAGACGAAAATAATAACGAGGAAGACCGAGGGAGAAGAAGAAGAAGAAGAAGAAGAAGAAGAAAACGAATCACAGGCTTCCAAATCCGACGAAAGCTAATCGAACGCGTCTTAAAAAGCTCCGAAAATAGTCACATCGGATCAGATTCTAATTCAACGAAGCGTGGCGTTCACTGAAGCCTAAACAAACATTAGTCCAAATATCAATACGAAAAATGAAATCAATTTAAACTTTCGTGTCATCTGCTTAATAACGATTACTGAAATAAACAAAAACAACAACAAAAATATGATAGTTACACACAGCATGCTACCCAGTCGCACACGCTCTTGCAAAGGAGAAAGAGAAAGAGGAGATAGAAAAGAAAAATAGAAAAAGAGAGAAGGAAAGAGAAAGAGAAAGAGGGAGGGAGGGAGAGAGAGAGAGAGAGAGAGAGAGAGAGAGAGAGAGAGAGAGAGAGAGAGAGAGAGAGAGAGAGAGAGAGAGAGAATGAGAATTTCAATAGAATTTGAATCCGCACATCTACTAGATCGTTACACGTGATCTTCGAATATTCATTTATTCGTCTTTTCAAGTACAAAGCTCAAGCATTCGAACACCTCGCCCGTCCGAACGCCAATATACTGAGTTACTGAAGGTAGTATGCTTCCCTCCCCCCTTTCCCCTCTCTAACCCCTTGGCCTACATATACAAATGCACACACTAACAGACAGACAAACAGACACACACACATTCACGCATTCTCACACAAGCGCATGCATGCCCACACGTATACGCATACTACCACAAGCACGCACGCACACACACACATACGCACAAATTCCTCCACAAGCGCGCACACTCCCCCCCTCCCCCTTCCCCCAAACCAACATACACCCGGGCGCCAAAATTATAAAATATGTATTTCCATATTGACAAGAGGCCTGAGAGCCGTTCGCGGTGACCCTAATAAGTAACAAGCAAATCGTTATATTCAGGGAGGAACCCAGCAATACTGACTACGAGCTTCCGAGCGGGTAGTCCCAGCGGCCGAGGCACTGGGAATAATAAAAACAACAACAAAAACAACAACAATAATGATGATAATAAAATAAAAATCAACAACAGTAATGATAAAAACAGGAAAAGGAAAGGAAAACCGTTTTATCCAAGCGGGTAGTTCCAGCGACCGAGGCACAAGTATTAATAAAAATTAAAACAACAACAATAATAAAAAAACAACAAATCCAACAACAGCAATAATAAAAAAACAAACATAAAAAAAAACGGAAAACAGTCTCATCCAACCGGGTAGTTCCAGCGACCGAGGCACAAAAAGAACAACATCAACAATAACAATAATAACAAAAACAACACCACCCAAAACCAACAACAACCAAAAACAAACAATAAAAAAAAGGAAAACACACAAGAGTTTCATCCAAACGGCCGAGGAACAGGCTGTGTTTGGTTCGGTCACTATGGAGACTGTGGAGCACTTGTTGGTTAGGAGAGCCGACCGACCGCGCTGAATGAGGCAAGTGCATCAATAATTATACACAAAAAGCGACCTAAACGAACGCCTGGAACTTGAATGAGGGAGACATAGAGAAACCGATAAGAGATTCTGATAACTTTTGTATTGCCCTCCACGTTGTTGTTTTTTTTTCTTTTCCCCTTTCTTTACTTTCCTTTTCGCTTTCTCTCTTCTATACCATGTTTCTTTTTATTTTCCTCGTTATATAGTTTTTCTCATTCTCGTTGCTTTTCACTTTCTATTATCTACCCCCCCCCCCCACAAAAAAATATATATCATTAGTGATGAAGATGGAGAGAGAGAGAGAGAGAGAGAGAGAGAGAGAGAGAGAGAGAGAGAGAGAGAGAGAGAGAGAGAGTACCTGAAGACCGGAGTAAAACTGAACAGACAACTTCCCGGAAGAAGCAGCAAACATGAATGCTGAAAGTCATTTCCATAAACTCGCTTGTTACATGATCGGGGATACGTAAGGTATGCATTCTCTCTCTCTCTCTCTCTCTCTCTCTCTCTCTCTCTCTCTCTCTCTCTCTCACACACACACACACACACACACACACACACACACACACACACACACACACACACACACACACACACACACACTACACTACACGCACGCACATACACACATACGCGCGCGCGCGCGTATATGCGTTAATCACACACTTGATGCATGATGAATCATGCACTGCATGCATGAAGTATGTCTATAAACAATGGATGAAAAGAAAACTGCAACAGGAAAAAGCTGTCCAAGTATTGGCAGGGTGCCAAGAGAGTAAAATAAAATAAATAAAAAAATAAATAATTAAATAAATAACGAGAAAAATACAAAGCTTCACAACAACAACAAAAAAGGTATGAAGGGGGGCAGAGGGTAAGGGTACAAGAAGGGGTACGGGATAAGGGGGCTAGGGGTACAGGATAAGGGGGTTGGGGTGGGGTATGAAGGGGGTTGGGGTGGGGTATGAAGGGGGTTGGGGTGGGGTATGAAGGGGGTTGGGGTGGGGTATGAAGGGGGTTGGGGTGGGGTATGAAGGGGGTTGGGGTGGGGTATGAAGGGGGTTGGGGTGGGGTATGAAGGGGGTTGGGGTGGGGTATGAAGGGGGTTGGGGTGGGGTATGAAGGGGGTTGGGGTGGGGTATGAAGGGGGTTGGGGTGGGGTATGAAGGGGGTTGGGGTGGGGTATGAAGGGGGTTGGGGTGGGGTATGAAGGGGGTTGGGGTGGGGTATGAAGGGGGTTGGGGTGGGGTATGAAGGGGGTTGGGGTGGGGTATGAAGGGGGTTGGGGTGGGGTATGAAGGGGGTTGGGGTGGGGTATGAAGGGGGGCAGAGGGTAAGGGTACAAGAAGGGGTACGGGATAAGGGGGCTAGGGGTACAGGATAAGGGGGTTGGGGTGGGGTATGAAGGGGGTTGGGGTGGGGTATGAAGGGGGTTGGGGTGGGGTATGAAGGGGGTTGGGGTGGGGTATGAAGGGGGTTGGGGTGGGGTATGAAGGGGGTTGGGGTGGGGTATGAAGGGGGTTGGGGTGGGGTATGAAGGGGGTTGGGGTGGGGTATGAAGGGGGGCAGAGGGTAAGGGTACAAGAAGGGGTACGGGATAAGGGGGCTAGGGGTACAGGATAAGGGGGTTGGGGTGGGGTATGAAGGGGGGCAGAGGGTAAGGGTACAAGAAGGGGTACGGGATAAGGGGGCTAGGGGTACAGGATAAGGGGGTTGGGGTGGGGTATGAAGGGGGTTGGGGTGGGGTATGAAGGGGGTTGGGGTGGGGTATGAAGGGGGTTGGGGTGGGGTATGAAGGGGGTTGGGGTGGGGTATGAAGGGGGTTGGGGTGGGGTATGAAGGGGGTTGGGGTGGGGTATGAAGGGGGTTGGGGTGGGGTATGAAGGGGGTTGGGGTGGGGTATGAAGGGGGTTGGGGTGGGGTATGAAGGGGGGCAGAGGGTAAGGGTACAAGAAGGGGTACGGGATAAGGGGGCTAGGGGTACAGGATAAGGGGGTTGGGGTGGGGTATGAAGGGGGTTGGGGTGGGGTATGAAGGGGGTTGGGGTGGGGTATGAAGGGGGTTGGGGTGGGGTATGAAGGGGGTTGGGGTGGGGTATGAAGGGGGTTGGGGTGGGGTATGAAGGGGGTTGGGGTGGGGTATGAAGGGGGTTGGGGTGGGGTATGAAGGGGGTTGGGGTGGGGTATGAAGGGGGTTGGGGTGGGGTATGAAGGGGGTTGGGGTGGGGTATGAAGGGGGTTGGGGTGGGGTATGAAGGGGGTTGGGGTGGGGTATGAAGGGGGTTGGGGTGGGGTATGAAGGGGGTTGGGGTGGGGTATGAAGGGGGTTGGGGTGGGGTATGAAGGGGGTTGGGGTGGGGTATGAAGGGGGTTGGGGTATGAGTATGAAGGGGGGCAGAGGGTAAGGGTACAAGAAGGGGTACGGGATAAGGGGGCTAGGGGTACAGGATAAGGGGGTTGGGGCGGGGTATGAAGGGGGTTGGGGTATGGGGGTATGAAAGGGGCTGGGGGTGGGGCATAAGGAGGGGGTGAAGGATAGAGCTATAGGACAGGGATATAAGGAGGAGATTATGAGAGATGAGGGGTGGAGAGGTTCCAATAAACGAGGGATGGAGAGCTTACGATAAACGAGGAATGGAGAGCTTACAATAAATGAAAGATAAGACAAGTTACGGGAGATGAGAGACGGAGAGCTTTTGACAGAGGAGGAGGAGGAGGAGGAGGAGGAGGAGGGGAACTCGCGGCAGGTACGAGGGAGTTGGAGGCGAGGAGAGGAAGAGAGGCAGGCTGCACGCTGACACCCGGTACTGAGGCGGGGATGACGGCCTCGACTGACCTGACAGGAGGTTGGAGAAGACGGGAAGTGGCGGCGGAGGCGAGGGGGAGGCGCGCAAGGGCGAGGACATGGAGTAGGAATGGTCGCCCTCTTCGTCCTCCTCCAGGAACATGTCCAACACTACTGACGGGGAGGCCATTTCACAGGCGGGGGGAGGGGGAGAGGCAGAGGCACAGGAGGAGGGAGAAGAGGAAATCGGCAGGGAGAAAATGGGAGAGAGAGAGAGAGAGAGAAGAAGAAGAAATAAACTAAGGAAAAACAGAAAAGGACAGAAAAAAACACGTGTCAACGCCTCAGACACAAGCCTCCATCATCAAGGGCACCGCGGGTATTTCCTTCCCGGCGATGCTTTCACCGCTTACAGGAAACCGTCCTCCGCCCCCAGGATATGCATGCTCTCTCACACACACACGCCCACAATAACACTTTGCAATAGGCACGCGTATCACCGTTTTTTTTTTTTTAAACGTCTGGTTCAATAATCCTTACGATCCTCTGTGAACTGTCAACTGATTTCAAAATCTAACCGCGACTTCTTCCTCCTTTCGGGGTTGCAAAGTCGCGCCCTTGTGAATTATTCAACAAACCAAAGTTTTGCAAGCTTTGGTGTTTTATTTAGTGTTGATGTTTGCGTCCTCGAGGGGTACTTGGCAAGAGTAATCGATATCTGCACCGCCTTGAGTGTTCCTTGCCGCCGCACTCCACGACCTTGCGATTGCATGTAGAGCGTCACCAGCAGCGGCGCGTCATGGTGACAGCGTTCAGCGTTGACGGGCGTCGCGCGCGCGGCCTTCACGCTGGCTCTCCACGCCGCAGTTCCTCAAGCCAAAGTTCCTCCTCCTGAAGACGACGCAGCGGCTAAAGGAGAACGCCGCTGGAGGCATGCTTGGAAGGGGCGTTCAGGCCACGCCCGCTGCCCTCCGCCCGCGCCCTGCGAGAGCCGGCCGGCGCGGGTCTCCACTCCACGCACGCAGGCAGGGTCTCCGTCAGCCCTCCGCGACAGGCATCACTCGAGTGCTTGCGTCACTTGAGCGAGGAAGATTGGGGAGGGAGAGCTCTCACTCGAGCGTTGAGAATACAGAAGCTCAGCTCTCGCGACGAGGGGATGACCCGAGCTCAGGCCCTTTAATCCACTAATGTCTCGGAATTTCGGGTCGACGTCCTCGTAATTGCAGCAATCGAAGTCTCTCAATTGCACACGAACAAAACGCCGGCTTCGGTTCTGTTTCCTCCCTCCCGATTTCACAGCGGTCGCCGAGAAAGTTCGAGCAACATATGGGTTTTCCAAAAGGTCGCTCTCGTTAGCTGGAGATCCTCCAAACCAGGAATTCCAAAACACGCCACCGGTTCGAACGCACTTAATCCACCACAACCGAAATCCACTCGAGAAACAGGCCGTCGAGAGAGACCGAAGCACCGAGACCGAGGCTTGTGTCGCGTGCTTGTGTCGCGCGGTGCGTGTACCAGGCAGGAGCAGGAGTAGGAGTGGGAGCAGGAGCAGGAGCGACGTGTGTGCGCCGAGCGAGAGGAGGGACGGAGTAACTGGCGAGCGAGCGTCGCGCTGCTAACACAGGTGTGCCGGCAACCTGTCCCCCGCCGCCCCACGCCGGCCGGCACCGCCACCACGTGTTGCTCTTACTCGCCCGGCCTCTCCACGCACGCACGGACGAACGAACGAACGCCGCACTCACACTCATTCACACCCACGCGCCCACGCACGTACACGAATAAAACATACATTCACACTAACGTACTCTCTCTCGTTCTTCCTTTTTTATACACAGAGACAACCACGTCCACACTCACACACATCCCCCCTCCCTCCTTCCCGCTCTTCCCATTCATGAGCACACACACACTCATACACTCCACCATTCACAAGGGTCAAGAACCGATTCCCGACCACCGCTAACACCACAGCCAACCGATTCCCGACCACTGCCGACACCACAGTCATCGACCTGCCCGACAACATCGAAATGAAGCCGCACTTTTCTCAGCATCATAATCTACGTCAGAAGCCTTCATTGCGATCGGCAACAGAACCACGGAAAAATAACCTATATAATCGCTTTCGTTAATCATATACGTCCAAACAAAACATAACCACGAAAGAAAAAATAACTTAAAACATAATACTTTCGTTAAATACGTCTAAAAGATTAATCATCGGACTAATTACGAATAGTTCAAATATTCCCCCCCCCCCCCCACACACATACAATATACTGGATTCTTGCCACATCCGTCTCGGAAAATTATCTGTGGCGCTTAGCTCGTGGAAAAAAAAATTGTCCAAAGGCATGATAAATCGCAACAACGGACATCCTTAAGAGCGACAAGAACAGACGATTGTAGACACACACACACATCTATACATAGATATGTGTGTGTGTGTGTATGTGTGTATGTATGTATGTGTGTGTGTGTGTGTGTGTGTGTGTGTGTGTGTGTGTGTGTGTGTGTGTGTGTGTGTGTGCGTGCGTATGTGAGAGAGAGAGAGAGAGAGAGAGAGAGAGAGAGAGAGAGAGAGAGAGAGAGAGAGAGAGAGAGAGAGAGAGAGAGAGAGAGAGAGAGACGAAGAATCTAAAAAACAACAACAACAACATCGCCCCTTTACCCCACACCTCCCCCCACCCAAAAAAACAACAACAAAAAAAAAAAAAAACATTACCAACATTATCAAAAACACTTCCCGAGATTGTCACGCGTACTTCCTCTCCGCACCAACAACCACACTGCACCACACCAGCCTCCTCATCGCAACCACAACCACCAGAGAGCCAGGTTCAGACCACAGAGATAAAGAGTTCACCGCAAAACAACCAGAATTTCAGTCAAGACGCGGTGACAGTTAGCCACAGAACAATAACCTGAATGGAAGACGACAGTTGTCAACCAAATTATAAATAAGAGTAACAAATGTATAAAATAAACAACCAATATTTACGACTCTCCCACCAGGAAAAAAAACGTCTAGCTAACCACAGCACAATCAAAACCAAATTCACAAACCCTGAAAAGCACATACAACTTCAAGATAAAAAAACAAACAAACACACAAACAAACAAATCAAAGACTCAACCACGACACAAACCACGTGAACCCCCCCCCCACCCCCCAGAAAGTTTCCCGGGCGATGCCTTATCACGTTTTCTATCCAACGTCTAAATACCCTTTTCTTTGTATTGTTAAGTTTTCTATGACATCCCCTATTACACTGTCTATGCGATGCCTTACCACCTTCCCAATGCGATGCCTTATAACATTTTCTATGCGATGCCTGAGTACCATTTCTATGCAGTGCCATTTCTATGTTTTCTTTGGGATGTCCATATTACGTTTTCTATGTAGTGCCTCATGACTAACGCGGGGGGAGTCACGCTGCAGTAACAGCTGCCCGAGCTTATCCCCCCCCCTTCCCCTCATGATCACCTGTGCCACAGCTGTCCCGTAAGCAGGTGAGTAAATGTCCGTGTTAATTTACATATAGTACGACCCTGTAGCTTTAAACATCTGCCACAGGGTAAAAATAATATATATATGGCGTCTTCACTATCACTATCTATAATGGCTCGGTTGAGACTCGTTCCGGTGCGAGTAAAAGCATTAATTTAGGTTTGATTAAAGGTTCAACTCGCCACGCTACATGGTCGCGCTTTGAGAGCGAAAGTGCGTATTGATTGAATTAGGGTCGTCTAGTTTGTTAACACTTAAAATGATAAATGTAAATTTGACGAGTTTAGCATCACGCTGTCAATCAAATTTTCGTTTTCTTACCGTTTTAGATGATGCATTTGCCATCATCACCATCGTCCTCCTCCTCCTCCTCATCATCATCATCACCATCCTCCTCCTCCTCCTCCTCCTCCTCCTCATCATCATCATCATCACCATCCTCCTCCTCCTCATCATCATCACCATCCTCCTCCTCCACATCATCACCACCATCCCCCTCCTCCTCCTCATCCTCACCACCACCCTCCTTCTCATCATCATCATAATAATCATCTTTATCATCACCATCATCTTCGCGGTGACGTCACAGACACACCGAGACACAATAGCAGCGACCACGTGACGAGTTCCCAAGTGCGTCTGGGAACCTCGCATCCGCCCCTCAATGCCACTCCATTTTTTTTTTTCTTTCTTTTATCTCTTCGTCTGCATCTCTTTATCTCTCAGCAACGCCCGCATCCAAGTTTAATCGTCTTCTGATGAATTACATAAACACTGGCCATGTTTTAAGCGTCAAATACATTCTAAAAAAAAAAAAAAAAAAAAAAAAAAAAAAAAAAAAAAAAAAAAAAAAAAAAAAAAAAAAAAAAAAAAAAAAAAAAAAAAAAAATCGAACACCTCATTTTTCAAAACACAAACAAATCTTAAACATATTCTTAAAAAAAAAGAAAAGAAAAAAGAAATAATCTCTTAAAAACACGCTCCTCTTCCCCCCAAAAAAAACCTACAAACTAAGTACCATAATTGCTTTCATATAAATATTAACTTTCATTCCCTTTCGTAAAATGATACTATCACTTTTAAGC